CTGCTCGCCGCCAGCAGCAGCCCCGCGATGCTGAAGGAGCTAAAGAAGCTGCTGGAGGCTGCCTTCGAGCTGCGCGAGATTTCGCCGGTCGTCAAGTACCTCGGGCTGGAGATTGTGCGCGACAGGCCAGCGAGGAAGCTGTGGCTTCACCAGCAGGGCTACGCCGACAAGCTGCGAAGGCACTTCATCGACGAGGAGCAGGGCGGTCGACTCCCGAAGACGCCTGTCTCGGTCGATGCCTACGCCGAGCTGACATTCGATGACGAGGAGGCGCAAAAGCGCGAGGAGGAGGAGTACCGGCAGAGAGTTGGCTCGCTGCAGTTCGCGGCGACGACGACAAGGCCGGACATCACGTTCGCCTGCAGCAAGCTGGGGAGCGGTCTCACAGTGAGGAGCGACCAGCATTGGCACGAGGTCGACCGCTGCCTCGCCTACCTCGCTGACACCCGCGGAACCGCCCTGGAGTTTGGCGGTGGACCAGAGTCACTGGAGCTGATCGGCTACGTGGACGCCGACGACGCGGGCGACAAGCAGGACCATACGAGCACGGGAGGCTACGTGTTCGTCTACGGAGGAGCCGCCGTCTCCTGGTCGAGCTCGCGCATCAAGTGCGCAACATTGTCGTCGACCGAGTCGGAGTACGTGGCGGCCACGAATGCAGGCAAGGAGGGACGCCGACTTCGTTTCCTTCTTGCGGAATTCAAGCTGCTCGACGCTGGGAAGCCGACCATCCTCCACGTCGACAACAAGTCGGCAATCACGGTCGCTGAAGGCTTGGGGCTGACAGGCAACCTTAAGCACATGGAGCGACGCTATGCCTGGCTGCAGTACATGGTGAGGCGCGGGAAGTTCGTACTGAAGTACATCCCGACCACCGAGCAGCCAGCAGACTTCCTGACGAAGGCGCTGCAATTTCCGGCTTTCAACCGGTGCTCTGTCGCCATCGGCCAAGTTCGTCTGGCTGACGTCGGCGATGTCGACGATGACGTGCAGCAGTAGGTGCCGTGCCCTTCTGCACGGCTGGTGCGGTGGCGGCGTGCTGTGTGTGGGGTGCACGCCGAGAACGAGTCTTCTCCGTGGAATACTGCCGTGAGAGCTGGAGGCCCAAGCGTGAGCGCGGCAGGGGAGTGTTAACGGGAATGAAGTGTTGGCCCCGCCCTCGCTTGGGCAACGCCGACGACTTGGTCGGATGTGTGGGAGTAGCGGCCGACCATCCACAGTGGGAGAGCTGCTCGACAGGCTTCGTCGAGCTGCAGGGGACCACTGTGGTGTTGCTGTTGACCAGGGAGCTCGACAGCTGTAACTGACTGATCTGGGCGACGGGTGGGCCGTTGACCAGGAGGGGCAGTTCGACCGGGAGGTCAACGGAGCAGTCCGTCGACCTGAGAAGTGAGCAGCCGTCGACGAGGGGAGCTCGTCGACAACAGCTGACAGTTCTGGTCGACGGAAGGGGTCCGTCGACCAGGGGGTAGCTCGACGGGAGCTGTGGTCGACCAGGGGCACCCGGTGGTCAACCAGAGGCACTTGGTAGTCGACCAAAGCACCTAGGGTTGTCCAGGTCGACCAGGTAACCTGCTCGACGAATTATGCGGAGGCACGCGAACGTCGTCGAAATCGCGATGGCGAAGGCGACTTCGGGTTGGTATCCAGAAGTCGATGTGGCTTTTCATGCGCAGGCAAAGGCCAACGGATGCGCAACGGTGCAAGTCGGGCCAATCATCTGCATGCACCTGCGAGCGTGCGCACTGCTGTCTTCTACGGGGCAATGTTGGACAGCCGTTCCGCTGCAGCGTTGGCACACCGTCGACTTGCTGTGTTGGCAGGTCGCCTTTCTGCAGTGCTGGCGCGGCTCCTCTACGCAACGCTGGCACGCGGTCGACCATGCTGTGCTGTCTGTCGACCAGGCTAGCTGCAGAGTTGCTAGGTGCCTGATGTAGTCTTTCTTGTCATTGCTTGTTCAACAATTCAATGATTCCAACTTTTCTAGTGAAAACTCTTGCCGATTTCTCCCGTAATTGTGCAAGCACTAAGGAACTAGGAAAGCTACGATCACTCCTAGTAGTTCGTGCCAACCTTGTAGTCTAGCTCACCACCGTTGTAGAGTGACTCTCCACAGCCGATACCCCCGAGAAGAAACCAGTAGTCCCCTTCCCATCATCCGTGCCGTGGGGTGGCGGGATGTAGTGAATCCGGTTCAAATGCACAATCTGGAGTTGGGCGTGTGGGATGATATGTTAGATGGTATCAAAGAACTATTTGATTAGTTTTTTGTACAGATTTAATTCCCCCGGCTGATTGTATGAATCTTGCGGATTATCCGAAGATTCGTGTATTGAAATCATTGGCGTTCATGGATTTGCCTCCAACTGGGTGATCCACTACCCCCTCACCCATCTCCCTGCACCTCCCTCTCCTTCTCTGCCCCTCTCTCTCCTCCTTTTCCCCCTCACCTCCTTCTCTGTCCCTCCCTCTCCTTCTCTGCCCCATCCCCTTCTTCTCTGCCCCTCCCTCTCCTTCTTTGCCCCTCCCTCTCCTTCTCTGCCCCTCCCTCTCCTTCACCTCCTTCTCTGCCCCATCCCCTCCTTCTCTGCCCCTCGCTCTCCTTCTTTGCCCCTCCCTCTCCTTCTCTGCCCCTCCCTCTCCTTCACCTCCTTCTCTGCCCCATCCCTTCCTTCTCTGTCCCCTCACCTCCTTCTCTGCCCCTCACCTCCTTCTCTCCGACTCGTCAAACCCCTCACTTGTTCCATAATGCAGCGGTGCAGCATGGTTGAGTGCCCAAAATGCAAGGGGCATGTCAAGACAAAGCAGGGACTCTTGGGTCACATGCGTAACCCGCTTTGTGAGGCAACGGCTGCTGCTCGAAGAGCCATACAACAGTCCCCCGAAACGCGTGGGACCAAGCGTGCACGGCCGTCCAATGTTCCAGAGTTGTCATTGAGTATTGATCGTGATGATACTTCTAGCATGCCTAGTGTTTGGCAGAGAATAGAGAGCTTGGGGCTGGAATACTAATATGAAAGAGACGAACCGGCAACATGGCAGAGAGTGTGATAACATGAATCCCTACGAATGTGAAGAGGATTCGAAATAGTGGATAGTGGTGAGTACGGAGGTTCCATACCTGTTAGCCTTGTTCTTCAAGTCTAGAAGTGAGGCGTCGGTGTGCTCACTAACCCTTGCACACTCGAGGTACCACTCTATGTAGGCGATGATTGCGTCCATTTGATTTTGGGGCAGGAACTCTTGAACGACGAACGGAAGCACTTGCATAACCGAGCGGTGTTCGTAGGCCTGGTAGTTCGCCCCCTTTCCAAAGTATTCTCCAGAGGGCAACCTCATATTCCCACCCCTACTGATGCTCTTCATATATTTCAGCCGCTTATCGAACTCCTTCAACCATGAAGGCCGCTTATTTTTTTTTAGGACAAATCGCCGAATAGCGGTTATGATGTGTTCGAAGATGCCGAGGTCCGCTTGATGCATGATGTCGGGTAGCACGGCGAGATAAGGGTTCAACATGCTGATGTGCTCCCAACGCCATCCACAAAGGTAACTCTGTGAGATGTGAGGGCAAAGGAGGGGTGAGGACAGAGAGGTGGATGTGAGGGCAAAGAAGGAGGGGTGAGGACAGAGAGGTGGATGTGAGGGCATAGAAGGAGGGGTGAGGACAGAGAGGTGGATGTGAGGGCATAGAAGGAGGGGTGAGGACAGAGAGGTGGATGTGAGGGCATAGAAGGAGGGGTGAGGACAGAGAGGTGGATGTGAGGGCAGATAAAGAGGGGTGTGCGCAGATGGAAGCATCAAGAGGGCATGTAAGGTTGCATGGTTTAGGAACCGTACCTTGACAGGGTGTGTAGATAGCGCCTCGGGCAAGTCGGGGTCGATGCTTCCATCCTTCATGCCTTGAACCACCTGATTTTGCTTTTAGGGTGTTCGGGGGTTGATTTTGAACTCAAATCGCTTGAGGTCATCCTTGTGGACCTTGCATAGGGAGCAAGGATATATCGTGCCCAAGGATTTGGTGCACGTAACCTTGCACGACTCTGGGTAGTCCGTGACATGAGCGTACAAGGACGGCCAAACGTTGATCGTCTCGCCCTTGGAGTTCTTCATCTTGACCCCCGTGTACGACGCTCTCTTAAGCCCCGCCATCACCTCGTTCATGACGCACTGAAATACGTCGGTTCGGTCAAACGACGTATACTCGGGGGTAAAATCTGGCAACAAGGCCAGAAGAACATGCCCATAGGGTTTCCAATGATCGTCCTTGTCGATGTTTGCTAGTGTAAGGTACACCGGATGTCCCTTCGCCTTCCCACGGTGATCCATGTGCGTCTCATCACTCGCTAGGATCAAGGCAGCCACAACACCCTCTGGATCCACCTTGCGTACCTCCTTCTGCAGCTCTTCCCACAACATACCCGTTTGGGGAGTGGTGTACATACGAGCCTCACCATCATACAAGGGCTCACTAGTCATGCACATGCGAGAAGCTAGATCCGGATGGGCGAGCATGTCTTGGAGTGCAATTAGGCCATCACAAGTCAAGTACTCCAACCACGCCTTGTCTTGAGAACGTACCAATCGTCGTTTCCACCGTCTATGTGAATCTGGACTCTCCAACTCGGCATAGTCATGTACATCCTTCACATTCTTCCAACGAAGAACATCGCGAATGTCCAACTCCTCGTCATGCATGAGGTCGAAGAGCGCGTTGATTTGGCCATTTGATAGCCTGCACGTAAGCAGCCAATGTGCCCACGCATCCAGTGTATTCTTACGTGGAGCTTGACTTGTGCCGCCCGTGTCATTATCCTGTCTCCCTTCCCTTGCCATCCTTCCAGTGCCCTCATCGTCACACGGAAGGCTACCATTTTCACTACTATGACTACTACTATCACTATGAGCAGTGTCATCAAAACAAGGAGGAACCATGGGTCCCACAGCCTCCCCCACATCTTCCTGAGGGTCATCCACTGGACCAAGTCCACGTGAGGTGCCTACTTGTCCATCCGTGGGGGAGTGAGAGCAACGGCAGCAGGGGAGTGAGAGCAACGGCAGCAGGGGAGTGAGAGCAACGGCAGCAAGGGAGTGAGAGCAACGGCAGCAGGGGAGTGAGAGCAACGGCAGCAGGGGAGTGAGAGCAACGGGAGAGGGGGATGTGAGAGCAACAGCAGCAGGGGAGTGAGAGCAACGGCAGCAGGGGAGAGAGAGCATCGGCAGCCGGGGAGAGAGAGAAACGGCAGCAGGGGAGTGAGATTAATGGCAGCAGGGGAGTGAGAGCAACAGGATCCGGGGGGAGAGAGCGCAAAGGCACGGGGGGAGAGAGCGCAACGGCACGGGGGGAGAGAGCGCAAGGGCACGGGGGGAGAGAGCGCAACGGGACGGGGGGAGAGAGCACATTGACACGGGGGGAGAGAGCGCAAAGGCACGGGGGGGGGAGAGCGCAAAGGCACGGGGGGAGAGAGCGCATCGGCAGCAGGGTAGAGAGCGCAACGGCATGGGGGGAGAGAGCGCATTGACACGGTGGGAGAGAGAGCAACGGCACGGAGGGAGAGAGCGCAAGGGCACGAGGGGAGAGAGCGCAACGGCACGGGCGGAGAGAGCGCATAGGCAGCAGGGGAGAGAGCGCAACGGCACGGGGGGAGAGAGCGCATTGACACAGTGGGGGAGAGAGCAACGGCACGGAGGGAGAGAGTGCAAGGGCACGAGGGGAGAGAGCGCAACGGCACGGGTGGAGAGAGCGCATCGGCAGCAGGGGAGAGAGCGCAACGGCACGGGGGAAGAGAGCGCATTGACACGGTGGGAGAGAGAGCAACGGCACGGAGGGAGAGAGCGCAAGGGCACAGGGGGAGAGAGCGCAACGGCACGGGCGGAGAGAGCGCATCGGCAGCAGGGGAGAGAGCGCAATGGCACGGGGGGAGAGAGCGCAACGACACGGGCGGAGAGAGCGCATCGGCAGCAGGGGAGAGAGCGCAACGGCATGGGGGGAGAGAGCGCATTGACACGTGGGGAGAGAGAGCAACGGCACGGGGGGAGAGAGTGCATTGACACGGGGGGAGAGAGTGCAACGGCACGGGGGGAGAGAGCGCATTGACACGGGGGGGAGAGAGCGCAACGGCACGGGCGGAGAGAGTGCATTGGCACGGTGGGAGAGAGAGCAACGGCACGGGGGGAGAGAGCGCCTCGGCAACAGGGGAGAGAGCGCATCGGCAGCAGGGGAGAGAGCGCAACGGCAGCACTAGAGAGACCAGAAGGCTCACAATGGCGAGCGCGGTAAGGTATGACGGAAGCTGAGAGAGAGCGCAATCGGGATGATGAGAGATGGTGACGCGAGGCGGTGGTGTTATTGAAAGAAACCGTCTCACTCCTAGTGACGCCACAGAATGAACTTGGCGAGTTAGGAGCAAAGACTAGGATCGTTTCGACGGGCTCGGAGCAAGGAATCCGTGGCACTTTAAATCTCTGTAATTGTCTGAGAATTGAAAGAGATATTGCTTATAATGCAAGGATGGGTACAAGTGACGAGTTGAAGTTAACTCTCTGGAATTTGCTCTCTGGTTTTATAGCTAAAACATGCAAGCACAATTGTAACATCGAACCGCGCGCGACTCGCCGGAAATTCAGACTCAGGATCGCGTCCAATTTCCGCTACGTCCGCGTTCACAATTTCGGACTTTGCCGGGTTCGTTTCTTCACGCCGACAATTGTGTGTTACAAGGAACAATAGCGAGTGTAGCGAAATGTTCGTAACATTCGCTTGCACTCTTGCTATTTTTGTGCATGCTTGTGGGGCTGCCAAGTGTCGCCCCCACAAATATTCGGACCCAACCGGGGAAAGTTCGGTTGCGTGGCGACGCGGACAATCCGCCGTCACCCCAACCTTCCAAGAACGAACCCTCCCTTGGTCCGAGTCAAGGGAGGTCTTTCGCGTGGGGGGCAATCCTGTTCCCCACACTTCCAACACTCCCCCTTGCACCTCACGCACACCTAAGCATGCAAGCCTACCCTAGCACAACATGCATGAAGAGCATATCTAGGCAATGGCTTGGTGAGGAAGTCCGCGGGTTGCATGTTGGTCTTGATGTAACGAAGCTCGACTTCGTTGTCTTCAACGAGCTTGCGAATGAAGTGATGGCGGATTTGAATGTGCTTGGTCCTTCCGTGGAGGACCGAGTTCTTGGCTAGGCCAATGGCGGCTTGGTTGTCCACGTAGATGGGAGTGGGGCCTTCTTGTTGGTGCCCAAGCTCGGCAAGAAGGCGCCTTAGCCAAACCGCTTCCGTACCACCACGAGTGAGCGCCACGTATTCCGCTTCAGTGGAGCTAAGTGCAATCAAGTTTTGGCGCTTGCTTTGCCAACTTATTGCACAACTTTTTACGAGGGTGAAGATATAGCCCGAAGTGCTTTGGAGGGTTGGAGGATCTCCCGCCCAATCCGCATCGGTGTAGCCTTGTAGCACCACGGGTCCCTTCTCGTAGTGCAACCCCATTCGAGTGGTGCCCTTGATGTAGCGAAGAAGGCGACGTGATGCTCGCACATGCTCGACCATGGGGTTGGAGACGACACGTCCAAGCACTCCAACGGGAAAGGAGAGGTCGGGCCGAGTGCTCACCGCGGCATACATGCACGACCCAACGACCGAGTGAAAGGCCTTGGCGCTCTCGGGATCCATGGGGTTCTCATCGCTCACGGTCAAGGGATGAAACCCCGCTTCCATGGATGTCGGTGTAGGTTTGCTCTCGATCATGCCGAAACGATCCACAACACTCTCCAAGTACTTGTGTTGGTGGAGGGCGAGGGTCTTGTTCCCTCGATCATGATCGATGTGCATCCCTAGGTAGTGGGAGACGGCGCCGAGGTCACGCATGGAGAATTCGGCGGCAAGCTTCGTCTTCATGTCCGCTACAAGGGTCTTGGAATCCGACACGAGGAGAAGGTCATCGACGTAGAGGAGAAGAACGAGCTTCTACTCATCCTTGTTGAGCACGTAGAGCGCGTGGTCACACTCGCTCCGCACGAACCCCAATGAAAGCAAGTGTTCGTCGATCCTCGTGTACCACGCACGAGGGCTTTGCTTGAGGCCGTAGATCGTACGCTTGAGCTTGCACACGCGGTCGGAGTCGTCGTCGAACCCGGGAGGTTGCTTCATGTACACCTCCTCCTTGAGACGACCATAGAGAAACGCCATCTTCACATCGAGTTGTTCCACCTCCAAGTCGAGTGCTCCCGCCAACGCCAAGAGGGTGCGCAACGTAGCGGACTTGGCGACGGGAGCGAACGTCTCGTTGTAGTGAAGACGTGCACATAGAGTTCATAAAGAACCCGTATCGTAGCTCGGACAAGAGGAGTGTGAACGCCCAGGTTGTGCAGAGTGAGGAGATGAGGCTGCGTATTGCATCATTGGTCCCCTTGGGGGAGCGGAAGAAAAAATATGACACGGCGATGGTTAGAGCACAACGCACAGGTGAGCGCATCCTCTCGCGCCGGTGTTGGTATTTGCGCATGCCCAAGGGTCGCAAATCTGCACCCTTTGTGTTCCCAAACACACCACAGGCCTCTAGGGACTGTCAGAATAGTGAACGAATGAATGACTGAACTAGCAAGCAGGTGGGTACAAGTAGGAAACCTAAAAGTGTTGTACCCTATATGAACTACCCCACTACAGCCTAAACAGACTATAGCATATAAGTTTGACACACCCCCATAGGCAAAGTGGGGGAGAACAAGAGGTCACAAGACCGGTCAAGAAAGGTAAAGCAAGCTCCGGGTGGATCACAAAGTCACCACACATTCTGAGCACAAGCAAATGACCACAAGGCCAGTTTACATGCTGAGTTATATAAAGGGGAACAAGAAATACAGTGATCACAACATAGCAAGTGTAAGCATGTAGGTATATGTATAGAGATCACAGTACAAGCAGAGTCAAGAAGTAAGCAAGTGAGGCACAGTAGGTACAAGGCCTAGAACAGTATAGAAACGCTGATGATCACAAGGCTGAAGTGCCTTGGTGAAAACATCAGCAGTGTTGGCCCGAGAGGCCACGTAAGCAGGACGAAGCTGACCACGCTGCTGCAACTCTTGAGCAAGGAAGTAGCGCAGAGCAATGTGCTTCGTTCTGTGCTCCAGTCTGTGCTCCTGACACAAGGCAAGCATTGCCTTGTTGTCGACGTACAGAACTGGAGGAGAACGAGGCGCCTCTCCCAAGTCGGTCAGCAGGTAGGTGAGCCAGCGTAACTACTGTGCAGCCATGGCCCCAGCGTAGATCTCAGCCTCAAAACTGGAGTTGAGAACAGAAGACGAGCGGGTAGACCGCCAAGAGACAGGACCGGAGCCAAGGCTGAAGGTGTAACCCTGTGACGACCGCTGTGTAGCCAAGTCGTCAACCCAGGAAGCGTCAGCGTGACCAGTGAGGACAACTCGAGCCCGTCCTCCAAGCACGAGCCCCATGCCCGACGTACTGCACAAGTAGCGCAACACCCTCTTCGCAGCATCCCAGTGCACCTTTCGGTGCCTACCGGGAGCCACATAGCGAGCCAGAAGGCTGAGAGGGTACGCGAGGTCAGGTCGTGTGCAAGTCATCAGGTACATGAGGCAGCCCACAAGCTCTGGATACGGGCCACTCGGCTCTACGGACTCGTCCGAAGGTGGAGCTGAGAGCGAGTGACCGGTAGGCAGAGGAGTGGACTGCGGCGAGGAGTACGTGAAGCCGAAGCGCTGAAGGACCTGGTGCACCATGTGTGACTGAGTCAAGGTAATGGTGCGCTGTGCTCTCTCCTGGGTGATTCGCAAGCCAAGATAGCTTGTCAGTTCACCCAGGTCTGTGCACGTGTGTCTCTTCTGCAGCTCGGACTTCACGTGGGCGAGTGCCTCAGTGTCAGCAGTAGCAAAGACCAAGTCGTCTACGTACACGAGAACGTAGAACGGCGGCAGAGTGGCGTCGGTGCATAGAAACAGCGAAAGGGTCAGCAGTGGAAGGAGCAAAACCAAGAGAAGCAAGAGCCGTCCTCAGTGTGTCGTGCCACTCACGTGGTGCCTGGCGGAGACCGTAGACTGGCCGCCGGAGGCTCCACTGGGTACCAGCAGGAAACGACCCAGTGAAGCCAGGTGGGCGGCGCAGCCAGATCTCCTCGTGCAGGCTGCCCTGTAGGAAGGCTGTGCTGAAGTCAAGCGAGTGTAGCTCTTAGTCACGCTGAGCGGCGACGTGCAGCAGCACCCGAAGAGTGGTCATCTTCAGGGTAGGGGAGAAGGTCTGGAAGAAGTCAACTCCCTGTCGCTGACTGAAGCCTTGTGCAACGTAACGCGCCTTGAAGACAGGCGGAGAACCCGGCGGCCGCTTCACCCTGAAAATCCACATGCCACTGACGATGTTCGCCCCAGGCGGGGGAACCTCGTCGACGTAGGTGCCTGTGGACTTCCAGGATGCCATCTCGGCATCCATGGCTGCCTGCCACGGAGAGGAGTAAGGACCCTCTATCGCCTTTGCGTAAGAGCGCGGGGTCGGGATGTCTGGTGCATCCGGGTCTCCCTCAGGGGCAAGCAGCATGGACATGAGATGAGGTACAGCAGCGGCAAAGCACTCAAACTCCTCCTGTCTGTCCTCAAGGACGTCCGTGCCAAGAGCACACTCACCCCCGATGGACGGAGGACAGATAGACGCAGACTCAGACTCAGCAACAAGACTAGCGGCGTAGTCTAGACAGGCGGCAGCAAAGTCAACAAGCTCAGCAACTAGAGCAGACGCAGCAGTGGACTCAAAGGAAGGGTCAGTGACAGCAGTGGGCAGAAAACGCGTGACCGTAGGACTCGCAGCACGAAGGGAGTTAGACTCCGGGTCCGGACTGTCAGGAAGAGAGGACGCAGGAGGAGACGGCAGAGGGACACGCTGTGTAGAGTCATAGAGTGAGTGCCGGGGACAGGAGGAGGACGCTGACGCGGAACACGACGACCAGTGCGAACAGCGCGAACAGGCGACTCAGGACGAGACTCAAATGACGCAGGACAAGACTTAGGCGAGGCAGGACGAGATTCAGGCTCACGACGCTCTGTAAGACCTCTAGTCGGTCCTGAGTAAGGAGAAGGACCAGGCAGTGGAGAGGCTGGCTGTAACTGCGACTGTGACTAGACAGGCGGTGGACTCAGTAAGGGAGGAGTAGGACCAGTAGAAGGCGGGAGACCAAGAACCTGCTTAAGGAGCGGAACGTAGTACAGCCACAGCCGCGCACCACCTCCAGAAACAGCAGAGACAGCACCAGTACCCTCAGCTCCAGGGTCTCCAGCTACAACTCCCGCAGCACCACCAGCTCCAGTACCTCCAGCAGCTCCAGCTCGAGCAGCACCTCCAGTAGCAACAGCTCCAGCACCTACAGCTCCAACTCCTGCAGCACCACCAGCCCCAGCAGCTCCAGTACCTCCAGTACGAGCACCTCCAGGACCAGCTGCTCCAGCACCTCCAGCAGCTCCAACACCAGTAGGACCTCCAACAGCGCCAGTACCTCCAGCACCAGCACCTCCAGGATCAGCGGATCCAGCAGCTCCAGCACCAGCAGCACCTCCAGCAGCTCTAGAAGCACCTCCAGCAGCTCTAGAAGCACC